GCTATCACACTCGTCCCTGAGTGTGTCCTGTGAAGTTGGGAGTGTTTTTTGGTGTGTTTGTGAGTTTTTTGTGTGTTTGTTTGTGTGTGTTTGTCGTGTGTTTGTTTGTTTGCGTGTGTGTGTGTGTTGTTTGTTTGTTTGTGTGTGTGTGTGTGTCGAGTGTTAGTTTGTCTTTGCGTCGTGTGTTTGTGTTGTCTGTCTGTTTGTTTGTTTGTGTGTTGAGTGTGTTTTTGTTTGTTTGTATATGTTTGAGTGGAATGATGACGTATTTGAGGTGTGTTGCTCCAAACATTTTTTGAACATATCTATCGACAGATTTTTGGTGTGACGTGTTTTTTGGAGTTAGTCAATGGGTGTATTTTGGCGGGTGATACAACAAAAAACAACATCAATAATAATAATAATAATAATAATAATATTTACAATAATAAAATAATAATAAAAATATGAATAAATATTCCCATTACTTTCATAATTCCATTCCAGTTGTCTCCAGTGGCCACTCTGAACAGCGTAAGGAAGGCCATCCCGAAGTTTTGGAAGTGGGCGTGTTTGTCCAGGCCCTCGCAGGGGTGACTGTGAGAACATTCTAGAACATTTGGTTATGATAGCGATGCTGTATTGACGTTTGATTGCGATTGTGGTCATGCTAATGATGAATGTACTTGTGAAAAAAATGATAAAAAGTGATAAAAAGAAGTGATAAAAATTGAAAAAATAAAAAAGGAAAATAGATGAAATAATAAAATAAATGAAAAAAAAAGTGAAAGAAGTGATAAAAATGATCCGAAACACCATCATGTAGGTCAAAATAAACTCACCCACACGGCCAAACAGTTCGACGCCCAGGGCAGCAAATATGTAGAAAAGAAGGAAAAACAAGAGTCCGAGGTTGGCCACTTCCGGCAGAGCTTGCATGACTGTGTCCAGCAAAGCCCGAACTGACCGCGCCATTTTTAAGAGTTTTAATACTGTTTTCGGTTTGTTGGTAAGTGTTTTTAAGATTTGTGTATGCTTTTTGTTTGTTTTTTTGATTGTTTTTGATTGTTTTTGAATGTTTTTTTACATGTTGTTCACACGCACACACACAGAGAGAAAGAGAGAGAGAGAGAGAAAGAGAGAGAGAGAGAGAGAGAGAGCGAGAGAGAGAGAGAGAAACAGACCTCTGGCAATCCTCATAACACGGACAACTCGGACGATGGTGGGATTGACTGCAAGTATGTTACTCTTAAACTCATCCATTACAATGCCAACCAGACTTAGAACGACGATCAACACATCCAGCTGGTTCCATCTGGCGAGTTGAATTTAAAAATAATAAAATCATAATTTTATAAAAATATATATAATAATATAATATCAATAAAAAGAACCTAATTATATTATAATATAACAGTGATAACATAATTTCAATAGTATAATAAAAATTACAAAAAGCAGCGGAGAAATTGTGTGACGGTTAAGTTATTTGGTTCTGCTCTTGGTTAACCATCATCATCGCTATCTTAATTATTATTTTTATGATTATAATTATGATTATGATTATAATAATAATAATAATTATAATAATTATTATTATGAACCCACCTATCGTAAATATATCTGGCGATTCCTAGAGCCAAGACCTTGATGACAGCCTCAACTATAAAGACGGAGGTGAAGAAGTAGTTGAATATTTTCAATATGTGCTGCATTATCTGTTTGGGCGAATAATACAAATTATAATTATTATAATTATTATTATAATAATAATTAATATTTTATAATAATTATTATTATAATAATAATTATTATTTGATTACCATTATTTTCATTATCTACATATATATATATATATATATATATATATATATATATATATATATATATATATATATATATATATATATA